ATATATATATAAGTTTTTATTAATTAATTAGGTGAGTTAGTTTAATTTATGATTAATGAAGTTAATTAATTTTAATTAAAATAAATTAATCATATTTATTAAAATTTAATTTGAGATAATTAAATTTATTTGATTATCTTAATTAAAGATGAGTAAATGTGATTAATTAATTTTAATTAATTTTAATTAATGTTAAGTTAATTATTTAATTACACTAATTATCTCAATTAATTAATTTCAACTTTCAATTAACTTTAATGTTGGTCATAGTTAAAATTATCTTTGTTTATTCCAAATTTTACCGAAAGCTTTTGTAATTAAGCAATTCAGTCCATGAGTTTCAACTCTTTTCAAATCAGTCCTTTATGTTTTGAATTTAATCAAATCAGTCCTTTATGTTTTGAATTTAATCAAATCAGTCCTCCATGTTTTGAATTTAATCAAATTAGTCCCCTTAATTTTTACTTGTGTTCATTGTGCATGCATGTCTTTGATTTTGTTCATTTTAGCCCAAAAATTTAAAAATGTCACAATTTGGTCTATCTTTTTTTTAGGCTTGCCTATTAAGACTCAAACATAAAGATAATAAATAAGTTGAATTAAAACCCCAATGTTAAAGTATGCAACCGTGTTTAAACGGAGGATTGTGAGGTGTGCGTATGCCCTTCCTCACTCCTAACCGAACCCTCGAACCTCGATCTTTGCGCAGACCTGTTTTAGGTGACTTGTCCCACCTTATAATTTGGACGAGTGGCGACTCCCTTTTTCTTTAATATGTTCACACCTAATCCCTTTTTAAGTGGTCGTCAACAATGTAGGGTCTTAGCTGTAATTCTTTGTGGGAGCCCACTCATGTAAGGCCTCAGCTCGTCGTTCTTCATTGGATGTTGTCAGCTCGTCGTTCTTTGTGTGGAGCTTTGTGAGTTCATCATTCTTCATTGGAGTTCTGTGAGCTCGTCATTCTTCATTGGAGTTTTGTGAGCTCATCATTCTTCATTGGAGTTATGCGAGCTCGTCATTCTTTATTGGAGTTATGTGAGCTCATCATTCTTTGTTGGAGCTTTTTCAGCTCGTCATGTTGTATTGTCGAATAGGGCGACCTCATGCACCCATTAATTTATGCAAAGGCTTGCGGCCTGGTGTGAGCTGCAATCCATATAAGGACCTGGTAAACGTGCTCATCATCACGATATGTGACGATCTGAATCTTAGTGAAAGATCTACACTCGTGAACGAATTGGCACGGTTGAGCCGATCTGGCGGATATGTCATCTTTGTGACGACCTGGTAAGTGTGCTCGCAATGGCGAGCTGACATGACAGTGTAGGGTACACCTTAGCAGTTACGATCTGAATCTTGGGGATTTTTGAGTTAAGCAAATCTCTGAAGAGATACGATTGAACTTTTGAGTTAAGCAAATCTCTGAAGAGATACAATTGAACTTCCCATATCTCTCTGCCTTCCCCGTCATAAATGCTGGCTCAGCATTCGAGGGACGTGACAGCTAAAGTCGGCGCACGTTATGCAGGAGGGGCGTTAAGCGTCTGCCACGTGTGGGACGCTAGTTGGCGCGTCAGAGGCACGCGTACGGCAATTAACGCTGCTATCCTTCTCTGCGTAACCCTTCCCCTTTTTCATTTTCAATTCTGTATTTGCTTAAACTTTCTAAAATTCTCTGAAGCGAAACGCTCCAGCTTGAAGAACAGCACACCGAATCGACTTCACATCAGTTTAAGGTAAAAATGGTTTCATTGAGAGAACTCACAGAGCAACGAGGTAACCAGGGCAGAGAGGGAGAAGAGGAAGGGGTTTTGTCCGTGGAGCCTATCACTATGATAGTGCCGCCGGAGTTGCAGGATGTACCGGAAACAACGGCGTCTGAGAACAGCACCGGTTCCAACGCCAGCGACGACGGTGACGACCACCGTAGTGCGTCGTCGAGCAGCTTGTCTACCGAAGATACACCCAGCCGCAAATAAGGGATGGGGGACGTGGTGAGCAGTGTCACAGATCGGCCGGTGATTGGGGAATGGGAAAGCACGACGATACCGGGCAGGCTGAGCAACTTGCAAAAAGCACCGAAGGACCTGCCCGCTGGATTCAGGTTCAGGGCTGCACTTCATCACGAAGTAGCAGATTGTACGCCCTCCATAAGTGGATATAAAAGGCTCGAGGAGATGGTGAGGGCATACCACATCCCCAAAACCATACTGTTGCGGACTGGCGGGCAGAACGAAAGAGCGTGCACGGTGTCGCGAACGGGCTGGATCCCAATATATGCAAACCACTTTGACGCCGGCCTACGGTTTCCCCTGCCTGGCCTGGTGTTCGATCTGCTCACGGAATACGAGCTGGCATTGACGCAGCTAACGCCCAACAGCATAAGGTTCATCATAGGCTTTATGCTGTTGTGCACAAGATTGGAAGTGCCAGCTAAAGCGATAGTGTTCAGGTCGCTATTCCAGTGCCAGCTGTGTCCGAACTCACGAGAAGCGAAGTGGTACTACCTCTCTGGGAGGGATAAGAGCCAGCTCTTCAAAAACGTGAAGAACAAAGTGGCGAGGTGGAAGAGACAGTTTATCTTTGTTCGAGACGAACGAGCAGAAAGGATAAACAACTACCTCGCCGCTCGGCTGTCTGAGTGGCGCACGCCAAACGCCCACATCAACTACCCTCAGCTGCTGCCCGGGGATGTAGATCTAAAGAACCAGCTACTTGAGTATGCGCAGGGGGAGGGTTTGATAGATCTAGAGGCCCTGGTTACCTCAGAGCAGCTCGCCATGTTCGGGTTTGTCGATGTGACAAACCTGTTCAGCGAAGGTATATTTTCATCATATAACATGGATTCTAGCCGAGTTGAGGCTTATACATTTGTTTGTGCAGGTGAAATGAGCAGCATACTGGAACGCCAACGACAGCAAGCCCAAGGCTCACGAGGTCGCGCGTCGGGTAGCGCGCAACCCCGTCAGACAAGGTTTGACGAGCGGCCACACCCAGCGCCTCAATCACGCGGCCCGTCTCACAGGGGATCCAGCTCGTCGTCAAGGCCGCGAGAAGATCATAGGGCTGAGGCAGCGCCCCTGAGTGCACGCAGACGTGCACGCGAGGAGACAGAGAGCGAGGAGGACGAGGTCCCCCTTGCTAGGCGCATAAGAAGCGGGGGGACTCAGCCCGCACAGGCAGCTCGCCCTACAACGGTGCGTTCTCCCAACGCACCGTCAGCGACTGTGCGGGCAGCAGTGGAGCCCGCCTCTGCATCGGCCTCGATGGGCCCCAGGATTGCTTATCCTGAGGGCTTCAGCTATGTGCGGGCAAAGTTGCAGCCTGCCATGGTGCAAGCCATGCACAGCTTTGCGCCCCCCTCAGACAATAAGCGGGCCAAAGCCTTTGTGCAACAGCATGGCGGTCAGGTCGCCATGATCAAATTAATGGATGTAAGTACCTGCTCGTAGCTGCTTGAATATTTTGCTTTTTCTTACTAGGTACTTACGATTGTTGTTGTTTGGCAGGCATTTAGCTATGCTGTGGCTCTGTACGAGAGTGAGCAAGCGGCTCGTACACAGAACAGCGAGCTCGTTCCAAGTGCAAGCAACTGGCTGCTGAGAAGGCCAGCCTTGTGGACGATGTGAATCGTCTACAAGGCTCTGAGATGGCGAACCAAGCTGCGGCTGCAGAGAGTAGGGCGAATCAGCTCGCCAACAAGAACAACGAGCTCTGGGAGGAGTTGGAGCGAGCTCGAGTTGAAAGGGAGAGCGGAATCCAGGCGGCAAAGGATGAGGTCTCTAGGGTTGAGGAGAGGGCTAAGAAGGCTGAGGCCGACAGGGATCGTGCTCAACACGAGTTGAGCTCCCTTAAGCACCAAGTCGCCGAGGCGGACCGGAGCCTTGTTGCTGCAGGGGAAGCGCTGAACGAGCTGAAGGCTTCCCATGCACGTTCTGTCGTCATCGCACGGGCTCAAGGGGCGGAATGGTTCGTTGGCTCGGCTGCGTTTTAGGACGCCGTGGCGGTGGCGTCGGCAAATGTAACCACGGAAATCTACAACGAGATCCGTGGTAAAGTATTGCAACACCGCCCGGATTTTCCAATCCACGAGCTGGTCTTCTTTGACGAGGAGGAATTAGACGAGCAGGGTAAGAGCCTTGCTCCCCTCGCTGATACAACTGCGAGGCTGAGATGGGATCTGAACGAGGAGGGCATGCCCGTCTGGTCACCGTCCGTACTTGAGGACGGGGAGGACCCAGCAGGGCTGCCCTCATTTGATGCATGGGTAGAAGGTGCTCCTGTAGCTGAGCAGGAACCTTCCAGCACCCCACCCAACTCTCAGCCCGCTGTTGTGCCATCCAGCTCACCAGTCAACGCGCCAGCCTTTGAGCCCGCTGCCCGGTCTCCTCCAGCTTGCTCTCCTGCAGCTGCTGCTGACGCATCCCTGCCCGTTGACCTAACGGACGACTAGGCTTAGGACTTTTTGTTTCATTCTTTTGTATTTTTGTTTTGGCATTTTTGTATTTGATCATTAGATTCAGGTCGTATGTACTTACATTTTTGATGAAATACAAAAATGAACTTTCATTTGAATCTTTGTTGCATCTTCTGTACATCTTTGTTTACAACTGTTGGATAACACCTTAAGCGAAATAATATTACACACGTTAACTGTAAAATTTTCTAAGATTTTGTACGTTCCAAAGGTAAGGTAACCGACGCCCTCGTATATCTGCCAACACGTAAGAGTCAGGCCGTTTAACTCGAATAACCATATACGGGCCCTCCCAATTAGGGGCGAGCTTGCCCATGTGTGAATAACTGTTGGTTAATCCAGCCTTGCGTAGAACCAGATCGCCAACCTGAAATTGACGAGCTCGAACTCGCTTATTGTAAAACTTTGCAACGCGGCTTTGATGTGCCATATTTCTTATTCGGGACATCTCCCTGATTTCTTCCACAAAATCTAGGTCCTCTCTTAAGAGTTGTTCATTATTCTGATCGTCATGACAATCTGACCTATCGGATGGCAATCCAACCTCCACTGGGATGACGGCTTCAGCTCCATAAGCCAAGCTGAAAGGGGTTTCCCCCGTGGCCGAGCTGGGTGTGGTGCGACAAGACCAAAGCACTTTATTGAGCTCGTCAACCCAATTAGAATGCGCGGCCAAAACACGCGTCTTAAGGCCGCGCAAGACGATTTTATTGGCTGACTCGGCTTGCCCGTTGGACTATGGAGTATACACGGACGTCAAGGCGAGCTCAATGCCATAGTCGTTACAGAACGATCTCAGTGCTATTGCCCGGAACTGTGGCCCATTGTCGGCGATAATTCGCTTAGGTATGCCGAACCTGCACACAGATGAGCGAGCTGAGCTACAAATCGCTCTTGCCTATATTTTATTTATGAGCTCAATCACCAAAGAATACCTGCACAATATCGAATTGAACAGGAATTCTTCTATTTTCCTTTCTGTTGTCGTGGATAGCGGTTTAGCTTCTATCCACTTAGTGAGGTAATCCACTGCAACGACCAGGAAAGTGCAGCCTCCTTTGCTTTTGATAAAAGGGCCGAGTAGGTCGACACCCCATTGAGCAAAGGGCCAGGGAGACGTGAGAGATAATAGCATTTCTCCTGCTTCAAGGAAGATACATATGCTTAGTTTAGAGACAAACACGAAGTTTGCATGTTCTTTAGGATAGGCTCAGGTACCTGGCATGTGTATATCATCAGCATTGAACTGGCAGGTCAGACACTTTTTGACATAACTCTGCGCGTCTTCGACCATAGTGGGCCAGTAATAACCATGCCTCAGGAGCTTCCGAGCTAGGGTTTTGCCTCCGATGTGCGTGCCATATACTCCTTCGTGAACTTCTCTCACAGCGTATTCAGCTTCGTAAGGAGTAAGGCAACGTAATAGGGGCATTGAGGCTGCTCATTTGTAGAGCTGGCTATCTATCAAAGTGAAATGTGCTGCCTTTCGCTTAACCAATTTCGCAGCGGACAGATCTTCAGGTAGCTCACCACTTTGTAGATAGTTTATAAGTGGGGTAGTCCAGCTCGGTGTGGTGGGATCTGTGCTTAGTAGCTGACACTCGACCGTGAAATCAGTGTAGCTCGGAGCGTCCAGCACTTCGACGACAGTTGACCTCTGAGGGGTAAGGTCCTGCGAGGAGGCCAATTTTGACAGCTCGTCAGCTCGGTGGTTGTCTGCTCTTGGTATTTTGTCGATCTGGAAGGAGACAAAGCCTGACTTCAATTTGTTAACCACAGAGGTATAACAACAGAGCTGGGGGTCCCTAACTTCACAGCTGCCATTCACTTGGCCCACAATGAGCTGAGAATCATTGAAAACTTGTATGCTTTGCACCTTCAGCTCGGATGCCAACTTCAGACCATAAATGAGGGCTTCATACTCAGCAGCATTATTAGTGGTCTGGAACTTAAACCGCAATGCATGCTCCGATTTAAAGCCATCTGGGCCTATCAACACAGCCCCAGCACCTGACCCTTCAACGTTAGCAGCTCCATCAACATACAAAACCCAGGCTGGGTAATCAAGTGCTTTGTCTCCCTCCGTCACCGAGATGCATTCTACGAGAAAATCTGCAATGGCCTGGCCTTTTATGGTTGTGCGAGGCTGAAATCTGAGATCGTATTCACTCAGCTCGACGCTCCACCCAATAAGCCGACCAGAGAGCTCGGGTTTCTGCAATATTTTTCTCAACGGCAAATCGGTATAGACAACAATCTGATGTGATTGGAAGTAAGCTCTCAACTTACGAGCCATGTAAACTAAGGCAAAAGCGGCTTTTTCTACTACTGGGTAATTCTGCTCGGCGCCTTGTAAGACTTTGCTCACATAACAGATAGGCTTCTGATTCTTATTCTCTTCCCTGAGTAAGACCGAGCTAATCGCTTTTGCTGTAACCCCTAAATATAGATACAAGCTCTCCCCCCCCACAAGCTTGGACAGCAGGGGCGTTGACGCCAAGTATTGTTTGAGCTCGTCAAAGGCCTGCTGACACGCATCGGTCCATTGAAAGTTCTTGGGCTCTCGCAGGGCCTTGAAGAACGGGAGGCATCTTTCAGCCGACCTGGCTATAAACCTGTGTAGCGCAGCAACACGGCCCGTCAAACGCTGCACGTCTTTGACAGTCCTTGGGGGTTCCATCTGCTGAACAGCCTCAACCTTCTCTGGGTTTACTTCGATTCCTTTCTTGGATACCACGTACCCTAGGAATTTTCTTGATTCCACAGCAAACGTGCATTTCAAAGGATTCAGTTTCATTTGAGCTCAACGCAAGTTTTGAAATGTTTCGTCCAAGTCGTCAATGTGATCCTCAGCTCGCACGCTAGTGACTATCATATCATCTACGTACACTTTTATGTTCCTGTCGATCTGGAGCTTAAAGATGATTTGCACCAGCTTCTGGTATGTTGCTCTAGCATTTTTTAAGCCAAAAGGCATCATGACATAGCAGTATATTGCGTCACCAGCGTAAAAAGCCGTTTTTTCCTGGTCGTCTAGCAACAACTGGACTTGGTGGTAACCCAAGCTGGCGTCAAGGAAACTCATCCGTTCATGTCCTGTTGCCCGCTCTACTAACTTCTCGACGTTTGGCAAGGGATGAGGGTCTTTTGGGCACGCATCATTGAGGTTGGTGAAGTCAATACACATCCTCCACTTGCCATTTGGCTTTTTGACGAGCACAAGGTTGGACACCCATTCAGAATACTCCACTCTCCTGATGAAGCCTACCTGTAACAACTTTTGTATCTCCTCGTCAATGGCAGCTTGCTTCTCAGGGCCAAAAAGGCGGCGT